CACTTTTTGAACTATGTTAAGTGTTGAAGAAAATAAAAATAGTATAAATTTACTTTTTTATTCATAGAAAACAACAACATCAAAACGTAAATTTTTTGCTATTAAATTTGTTAATAACAAGACTAGTAGTAAACTATAAGATATTTTCTTAGAAATTTATTGAGCATTCTTATTAAAAAAGAAATCATTCGAGATTTTGATATTGATTTAATGATAGATGCCTTCAATTATGAAAGACTGTTGAACTCAATTAAAAATATCTAATTTTAACATGCAATAGTGGTTAAAAAATATTTTTATTTTGCACTTAACACATAATTAGAATTATTTTTTTATTTTTTATGTACTTTTTCTATCTAAGTTATTTTATATTTTTGTCAAATAGAGAACTTCTAGTATGATTGTTTTATGGATATTGTCTTCACCTCCAACTGCTAAATCCTAACTACAAGATCTGACATTCTATGGTCAAATTTAGCCATAGGATGATTGATTTGTGTAAAAGACACTGTTAGTCGACTTGAGAGAGAAAAAGAGTAAAGACAAAAGAATAATATTTTTAGATATTTCACGTTTAAGAATTAACATTGTTTACACGTTTTGAGCCCAATGTACAATTTGAACACTAATTAATCTGTATGTAATTGTTATTAAAAATTAAAAAAATAATATATTTTATTTTTTTATTTTTTCTTTCTAGTGTGACGATGGTTGCGGGGATTTTTATCTTTTCGAATAGTGCATGGACCACCTTATATAAGTGGCGTCAACTAAAAAAATCATTCAAAATTTTGATATTAATTTAATGATAAATGCCTTCAATTATGAAATATTATCAAACTCAATTAAAGATTCTCAATTTTAGTACATAATAGTGGTAAAAAAATATTTTTATTTTGTACTTAACACGTAATTTGAGTTATTTTGATAATTTTTGTATAATTTTTTTTATTTAAATTATTTTATATTTTTGTCAAATATTAAATTTAATATGATTATTTTATAGATATTGCCTTCACCTCCAAATGCTAAATCTTCACTAATCTGACATTTCATGGTCAAATTTGACGTAAAATAATTGATAGGTGTAAAAAACATTATTAATCAACTTAAAAAAATAAAAATAAAAATAATATTTTAAATATTTTATATTTAAAATATTAACATTGTTTACTCGTTTGAAAACGTAATATATATTTTAAATATTAACAAATTTATATATAATTATTATTAAAAGTAAAAAAAAAATTTTATTTATGTATTTTCTCTTTTTGGTGGCACGGTCGGGGTGCGGATTTTTATTTTTTCTAGTAGTGGATGGACCACCTTAGATAGGTGGCATCAACCAATGAAATCAATTTAACAATCCACAAAGACAAAGCCTTTTCAGACCTTTCTGACGCCACTCAGCAATTCTATTGGTCAAGACTAGAGACCACCTGTCCCATCCCTGTGGTCCACCCTGATCCGGACAGCTGATGATCACCAAGGTCACAAAGAGGGACCCAACACGTGTCAATTTCACTACGACTCCTGCCCATGATTGCAATCACCACCGTTGGTTTCTCTTCCCTGAAACCCAGAAAGGGGGGGGCAAACAACAAGTGATTCTAATGGTTTTGTTTTGTCCGTTTGCCCTTTTTTTAATTACCCTATTGCTATTACTCATTTTTGTTGAAATTTTTCCCTTTGTGCATTTCCATGTCTATCGCTTTATAATCCTCCGGGTTCTGACATCTTCTCCATTTCCAGATAGAAACGAAAGCCAAGAAAATTTTCCCTTGGTTCCCTGGCAAAAAAGTAACACAACCCAGTTCCGGGATATGGATCCTGACGACGACGGAGGCACGTCTGATCTTAGCACGAGTGCTGGAGAACCTAACACCTCCACAGCCGCCACTGCCAACAACAAAAACAACGATAAAAATTGTGAAAACTCAGCGCATCCGTTGATGCCATTAAAAGAAGAGCCGATAGACTCCGACCCGGACCATAAGACCCATCCTTCGCCGCCTATTGGGGTGGTCCCAGTTGCCATGCAGATTCAGCAGATGCCAATGCAAATCCCTGCTATGCCCATGCCCGTAAGCACCGCTAAACGCTCCTCCACCAAGGACCGTCACACGAAAGTCGAAGGCCGAGGTCGAAGAATCCGGATACCGGCCACTTGCGCCGCCAGGATCTTCCAGCTGACTCGTGAACTCGGCCATAAGTCAGATGGAGAAACCGTCAGGTGGCTCCTCGAACATGCTGAACAAGCCATCATCGAAGCTACCGGTACCGGCACCGTCCCTGCCATCGCTGTATCCGTCGGCGGTACCCTCAAGATTCCCACTACGTCCAGTGCGAACGCTTCCAACAACAACAACAGTAATAATAATAACCAAATAGATGACGGTGCCATAAAGAAACGAAAACGCCCGGCGAACAGCGAGTTTTGCGATATAAGCGACGGAATTCCATTTGCAGTTTCACAAAGTCAGCAACAGTTAGTCACGCAAGCCTCAGGGCTGGCACCAGTTACTCCGCAGGGGGTGGTGCCAGTATGGGCTGTTGGAAATACTGGAATGATGGTACCAGCAAATGCGTTTTGGATGATCCCACAGCCCGCGGCAACGGCTGCTGGTAATGGGCTTACTAATCAGCAGCCGTCGCCACAGATGTGGACTCTATCACCATCTTTGACACCGGTTTTTAACGTGGCTGCAAGGCCCATATCTTCATTCGTTGCGACGACAAATCAAGTTCAGGCAGTTGTGTGCAACGGTTTGTCAACTTTGGCTCTGAATACAAGCAGTACACCAGTGGGGGCGACGGTGGCAAAGAAGTCAACCATGGCGCCAAGCGTCAGTTCGGGTGGCAATGGTAGCGGGAGCACTGGGGGTAAGCCTCAGCTGCTTAGGGATTTTTCATTGGAGATCTATGATAAACAAGAGTTGCAATTCATGGGGCGGTCAGGGAATCATCATCAGCAGATGCAAGCTTCTAAGCCATAAAATTTTGGAGTTGAAACGTTATAATTAATCCATTGAAATAAGAATAATGGAAAAACAAAAGAAAGAAAAGAGTATAGTTTTAGAGTTTGTGCTTATTTGTAATCTGTGTTTCGAATTGATAGTTAGTGTTTTACCAGAATTTGTTCATCTTGCTAAGTTGCAAAATGCAAAGCATACAGTTCCTCATGAACAGCATTTCTTCACGCTCCCCATGTTTGATCCCGGCTTTGTCCCAACAAAAATCTTATCTAAAAATGAGATATGGACATTGATAACTATATCAAGTTTCTTCAACACTAACTATGCTTGTTCACAATTTTAAATGTTGGACACTTAAAATATTGCATATCCATTGTCAAACACAAAAGCTCTTACTACTAACTAATAATAATGATGAGAAAAGCAAATGGCAAATTTCAAGCTCAACCACCATCTGGCATCTGCTTTCAAACATGCACCAAAAATGCCCGGATAAGTTTTCGTCTTAGCGAAATTCAAAGCCTCAAATGTTCCATGATTTGGGTGGGAAGATTTGTCCTTCACTTTCAAAGGTACTTATGCAAATGCTTTGAACAGGCAGAAACTTTGATCTACTTTTGGATGTAGTGTTTCAATTTCCTTTGTTTTTTGAGCATGGGAATTCTTGCTGAGCAAGTAGGGTTTTGGATATTTCCCTAAGATTGAGAATATAGAACCAATCGGTGCATTTTTGGTTCCGAGCATCAGAACTCTGTCATGGTTCGAGTTATTGGACTATTTGCCAGTAGAACTACACACTATTAGTATTATAGTCAAATTGAAATGTACCTGTATTTACTAGTAAATAGTTGGCCACACACAAGTGACTCAAGCTTTACACGTGCAAGTAAGGGTCGGGACTCGGGCCAATCTCCGTCCGGTTTGTAGGCGGAGTTGCTCTGCTATTGGTGGTGGGTCCGCCTTCATACCTCAGGGTCCCACACGCGATAACCGCGCAGATCACTGCACGCTCTTTACCATCACCTCTCAATCTGAGAATAAATCTTTTAGTAAATTACAATCTAAATTATGTAATTTATTAATATATATTATTATAAAATCTAGACTTATAAATTTTGATTCTTACATAATTTTTTTATATTAATTAAATAATTATAAAATTATAGTATAAAAATTACTATTAAAATTCTTCTCAATATCCACTCCTTTTTCTTCATTAGAGGTTCAGAAGGAAAGCCCATCACGCGCTGAAAAGGAGAGTAGGACTCTCAGAATGACACGCGTGCAAGGAGTTGGGTGGGCCTACGTGTTAGCTGTGGAATTGATGCGCATGCACCAAGAACCATGGGGCCGGGGGGTTCTTTCTTCGCCTCCTCCTCCTCCCTCCTTGATATTTGTGGGGTCCAAATTGCACTCCAAAAATTGGGTGGTTCAATTTCGCTTCACTTCCTTTTGGGGTGGGTTTGGTTTTTATCATAAAAATAAAAAGGGCCACAAAAAGGGTGGGCCAGCAGGAGGCTCACCCTATTTCACCTAGCTGCTTTTGGGATGGACCCATTGTCTCTATCAGGGACGGTTAGCATTGGTCCAATGTGGTCCCCTCTTGTTTTTCTGGGGACATAGCGGTCCACCTCCATAAAAATCAAAAAAAGAGAAGATCAACAATGTGCCCATAAATCCTGGCCGTCAGTTGTTGGCTCTACTGGCTTTTGGTGGGCTCACCTTGACCAAAATGAAAGCCTAGTTGGCCAGTTTCATCAAAAGACAAAATGGTTGCACTTCCATTTGACGATTGTAAGCTAGAGTTTGAGTTCATCAAAATATATAGACCTCACTACATAATAAAAAGTTTATATATCTTTGTGCTTTTAGCCTTTTAAGAAAGCTTTTACACTATTTCTTTTTGGAGCCAGTTTACATTTTATTTAAGAAATAATGGATAATATATGATTCACCTTTTGATGAATGCTGAATATATGTAACATAAACATTAGATTATCCCCTTTCCCTTTGCTCTTCGTAAACCTCGCAATTCAAATAAAACGATGTTTGTGTTGCTTTTAAGTTTTAACTACTTGCAAATTAAATATTGAAATCAACGGCTTCGAGTTGCAATGAAAGCCATCAAACTTACATACGTACTATTAGAACAGCGGGCCTTCAGCCCCCTTGTACATGTCGGGTCCATTCCGTACGAGCTTCAACCTATAGGGAGAAAATACTTAACCCCTTTATATATATATATAAATAAATTTTTTCTTAATTAGGGCCAATTTGGGACCCAAAATGGGCCCACAGTGAGCATTTATGGGGCCGATCTACATCACGATGGACCCCAAAATGGTTGGGCTGTCTGGCTCACTCGACCTGTTGAGCCACTATTATTTTATATTACTAATTTTAAAATGTCATAATCCAACAGGAGACCAAAATTAAGTCATTTGACAAAAAAAAAAAAATTTTAAATGTCGTAATCCCAAGGGAGACAAACAATTAAAGAAAAAAATAAAACTTATTTTTTTGTGAATATCATTATGGTATTTTTTTTATTTAAAAAATATGAGCTTGAATTGTAACATGTAGATAAAGGAGTAATGTACAAACCATGAAAAAGGAATTAAAACAGGATAAAAATCATGTGGGTCTTATCAAAAGAAAAAATGGGTCAAGTGTTTTCTATCATAGGGAGGAAATTTTAATAGTATTTTGAAGTGGGGCAAATAGGCCTAAAGCATGGGACCAAGAGGAGGTGGATAGGCTTGCAAGGTTTTGAGTGGAAGTTGCACTGATGCGCATTTCTTGCACATTGCCTAGTGCTTGTTGGTGCGCTCAACCTCGGATTTTTTTGCTAGTAATGGCTTGAGATAAGGGAGAAAGGAAAAGTTAAATTGAGATAAGAAAGATAATAAGGGTAAAACAATAATGAAGAAAATAATTAGAAAGGAAAATTCTCTATTCTGTATCGCAGGGTAGAATTTTGAGAAGAAGAAAATGAAAATCATATTTCTTTAATCGTTTTATCCTTGAATAAAAGAGGAGAATAGCTACTATTGTTTATATAAAAGGGTTTGTTTTATTAGGTGGTAATGTAGGGAGAGAATTTCTCAAATAAATATCCATTCAATAGAAATTGAGAGCCTTTGATTATCCATCCTTGAAGAGACAAGGATTCCACGTAACATATTGTTTATAGTCTCAACACTTCCTCTAGAAATTCTTTTACAACCTTATTGCTCGACACCCGCGGAGTCCACAAAGAACATGCTCGGAGATACCAAACTAGAAACGAGGAAGATTGATGTTTTTCTTTTAAACTTAATGATCAGGTCAAAAATAATCGGATGAACATTTTTGTAATATTATTAGAAACAGGAACCCCTCTTTTTTCTTGAAGATAACCTTCAAATAATCTAAATTCTTTGGAGACATGGACGACCAAACCAAAATTTGACTACCCATATTTTACTAGTACGTGAGTCTCTGTGCATTGTAATGGATGTAATTTTGTTACTATAATTATGTGCATAGGCGACATTCTCGATGAAATCAGAAGCAACAGACTTTGGCCTGCTGCCAGTTAAGCTCACAAACAAGGAAGTCATGTGCAGCCAAATCAATTAATCAAAACTAGCCCCTATAAATGCCTTTGGAGCATTATTAAACCTGTTTCATCAGGTTAATTAAGCTAGTGTTTTTACACTGAAGTTTAGTATCGATGGCGAAGAAGGGGCTGATTCCGCTCGTTTGCTCGCTGCTGTTTGCAGCATTCCTGTTGAATTCCCATGCAGCCAATGCCAACGAGAGAAAAGTAAAAGTTTTTGCTCCTAAGCCATCTTGTTTTTGTTTATTTTAACTGCTCTTTTTTGGGGTAGGTTTTCACTCAATGCGTATTCTGTTTTTCATGTATAATATAGATTCACGTTGTGTACATGGGAGACAGGCTAAAGGGAGACCTTTCTTCGAGAGGAGTGCATCATTCCATGATGACCAGCGTCCTTGGAAGGTTTTGTTGATTTTTAAAGCCATTAAAATAGTCAACAGTCTTCAATTCCCTGGTTAATTAATTACACATATAAAGGAATATGTCACAGAAATACTGAGCAAAAAAAGACACGTCAAAGAAATAGGATCAGCAGTATAAGTTCACTATCTAACATAACTAGCAGTATACTGATCAGCTACACGAAAAAACAGTGCTCATTAAGCATAATATTAGTGTCAAAACACGAAGAAACAGGAAAACATTTCTTTTTGGGTAACATTTCGATTTTTTCAATCACAGCTCTTTATCAGCCAAAGAATCGTTAGTCTATAGTTATGGGAACTTCAATGCATTTGCAGCAAAACTAACTGAAGAAGAAGTTAAAAGGTTCTCAGGTGAGATGATCAAACAAGTAAAAAGTGATAAAATTGGAAGCAAATTTTCATGATCATCACGGTTCGTATACTAAACAAAAATTTGAATGGCATGCAGAGATGGATGGAGTAGTTAGAGTGATTCCAAATCATATACTACAACTTCACACTACAAGGTCATGGGACTTCCTTGGTTTCAGCCAAAGCAGTCTAGGAGCCAAGATTGAAGGAGATGTTGTCATTGGGCTTCTTGATACAGGTAAATAACTAAATTGAATCTATACGTAGACTGCTATGGCTTTGTCACAGATCAAGCTGATTTCTTTGGGGTTCTTGGGTTGTAGGAATCTGGCCGGAACATGATAGCTTCACAAACCAAGGACTTGGCGCTCCACCCTCTAAATGGAAAGGAATTTGCCAAGGTGCCAATTTCAGCTGCAACAAGTGAGCTCTCTTTCTTCCCATAATACTTTTAGTAATGCGTTGAATTGCAGAAAAATTCGACAAACGAAAACATATTGCTAGAAATTTTTAAAAACTTAATTTATAGCAAACTTCGAAAACTGCAGCAGTCACTGATAAAAATGAATCCTTGATTGCATTGATCTTGTTGGAGTTCTTAAGAAAGAGAGAACACAAAACAGAGACAAACTTCACTACTGTTATTCATTAATAGCTGATACATACTTATATCGACTTAAGTTAAACTAAATCTAGTTACAACTTAACCAGCCATTACCAAACTAGAAACAATGGTGGCCATTATGATTTTGTTTACAAAATGACAGAAAGCCGCAGACACATTTTGACAGAATTGCGGCTGTAACATCCCAAAGCCTGCTCACGTCTTTCATGCTCATAAGTCCACCTTCCATATGTGCTGCCAAAATATCTTCAACCTTTACTGTCAAAGTATCTTCAATATGATCTCAATAGTCTAACAAATCTTTCTATAATTCTTCTCAATCTAAGCAACTAATATTAAGAATTTGGCATCACAGTAAGATCGTTGGAGCCCGATATTACAATAGTGAGGAATGGTACTCTGACACCGACTTCAAGTCTCCTAGAGATTCTGAGGGACATGGAACCCATACTTCCTCGACTGCAGGTGGCAACAGAGTGGCCGATGCAAGCTACTACGGGTTAGCTAATGGAACTGCAAGAGGTGGAGTTCCTGGTGCAAGGATTGCCATGTACA